GTTCTTCATTCTTGTAACTTGACTCTCCTTTTACTTATAGCTTTTTTTCATTGATGTCATTTAATTTGTGACTGACCTCAAAATGGTAGTTATGAAGCACATAATTTCATGATTGTAGTGCAACTTGAGTTAGCCATATTGGAATGGAATGCAGATGATAATTTCCATTTGGCCCATGTTATTCACAATCTTTTCATTCTTTTTTTTCCTTTTTCGGGCCATGAGATCTTTGTGATGGTTGAACAAACTACATGCATGCTGTCAATTTCCAATTTGCATTATATTGTGTAGATTCTCACTTACATATTTTTGTTTAATGATCTTCATTGATCATATGCATTAGTCATTAGACACTTCAACTAGCATTACCATTTCTTATATTGATGAACCATTCGTAGTTAGCCTATATATGCAGCAGCAGCAGCAGCAGCAGCAGCAAAATATCCTGATTTCTTGACCAAAACAAATCTTGATTGATTGTTTCAACTTTCAACCCTCTTGGATATATTATATGATTTTGCAAATTTGTGTGCTTCATTCTCCATTGTGGCAAGAGAGTCTTATTGGTAGAGGATTTCCTGAAATGAATCCCACATTCAATTCTTTCCCAGGCATGAGAGTATAAAGAGTTTACTGAAATGAATCCCGAATTGTATTGGACAAGTAAGAGTGACTGGAAAAACTATATACACTCTACTTTTGAAATGAATTTTTTCAACTTTTATTCACAATGAGAAGATCCAAGAGATACCTTTTATTTTTATTTAATTTCTTAGAATTTAGAGTTCCTGAGCTCTAAAACAGTAGTAGGCTCCTAAAATAAATTTATTTTTGTTTATTCAGAAAACACCTTGGGGTAGTCAGATCTCGATCAACTAATGATAATTGAAGTAAAAAGTAAAAACTCCTTGAATTACTGGAGCAACACATCACTTTATTTTGTTTGTTAAAGATAAATCTTCAATGTCAAACATTAAGATATCTAGCAAGAATGATTTACCAAAATATTTTGTTATAAATCATGCCTTAACTAAAAATCCTAGAGCAAAATCATTTACCATCAATCAAGTTAGTCCCTTGATTATTTATTTTTAAAATTAAGAGAAAAATAAAAACTAAGGTACCTTAACATTTAAAATATGAGGATTTTTTATGAAATTATTTAAATATTCTTAAATGAATTTTATAAGGAGTTTAGTATTTTAATTACAAAATAAACCTAATTGTAGTAGGAGTATGAATAATTCTGTGTATCTAACAATTGAATCAAAAAACTATTTTACAACGTGAATTGTACAATTATTTAAATATTTTTAATAAAATAATATAGAAACAAAATTAAAAATATTTAAGTAATTTTATAAAATATACTGTCTACATGCCAGAACGGCATGTTCTTGCACCCCACACGCAAAATGCTAATTCTTGCAAGTTACCAAGAACTCTTGGAAGGGCATCAACGGCAGCTCTTGCCGCCAATCTTGATGACTTTCAAACAGAGGGCAAGTTATCAGGAACTCTTAGAGGAGCGTCGACGGTGCCCTTCGAACAGGAGGCAAGTTATCATGGGGTGGTCAGAGCCCGTTCTTAAAATTTTAATTTCCTCCACCATCTCACTCATTTATTTATAAATTAGTGTAACATACACCCAATAAATATGCAAGGAATCCTCCAATTTGTCATGGTAAGTGAATTCCATAGAAATCAAATGAATGTGTGGGTGGGTTGCTCTTTTTGCATGATTATTTGTAATGCATGAAAAGGCAGGCTGCTTGCTTCTCCTTCAATATGATCATGAATGACAACTCCAATAACATTAAGCAACATAAATATTAAAAATTTTGAAATAGTAAGAAAGTAAAGTTGTTCATCTACTCCTTTCATTTCACTAAAAGTGTTGTTGTTTTAGGGTGATGAACTGGAATTAAAAATTTTAATTAATGGCATTAATTTTAGAAATTACAGAAAATTAGGATATTTTGGTAAATAAAAGGTTAAATTCTTTATAAAATTCATTAAAAATATTTAAATAATTTTATAAAAAAACTTTTATATTTTAAATATTAAAAAACCTTGATTTTTTTTTTCTTAATTTGAAGAATAAATAATTAAGGGGACTGACTTGATTGAAATTAGGATATTTTGGTAAATAAAAGGTTAAATTCTTTATAAAATTCATTAAAAATATTTAAATAATTTTATAAAAAAACTTTTAAATTTTAAATATTAAAAAACCTTGATTTTTTTTTTCTTAATTTGAAGAATAAATAATTAAGGGGACTGACTTGATTGACAGCAAATGATTTTGCTAGTATTTTTTAGTTGAGCCATGATTTTTAACAAAATATTTTGGTAAAACATTCTCGCTAGGTATCTT